CTTTCTCCTTTAAATTTTATCCCTGACCTCTATATCCCCTTTGATATTACAATAGATGAAAAAATTTATTCCAAAAAACTCGTGAAGCTCCTCTTTGATAGATGCATATGTCTTTGAAATCATGGATTTAGAGAGTGCTTTTCACTAGATCTGTTCATGGGTTGAGCTGGGCTTTCACTAGTTATTAACAGAATTTGATAAAGCTTGAGCCCGAGCTCGGTTCAACTATCGGGCAGGTAATTGGGTCTCGAGCCCGGCTCTCATAAAACCCCAAAGCCCAACCTATTGTATCTAAATTGCAATTGTCTTTTTCTAAATTGTTCCCAAAATTTTTGAAGTTTTGGTTAGATCTAAAAGATTTCTGAAGTTTTGTTTAAGACCAATGGTGTGGTGGATTTGGACTGTTTGGGTGAAGGAGGTGGAAGAGTAACAAGTGTATCTGGCCGAGTGAAAACAGGGAAATTTGAAGGTTGAAGAAAGAAAGTGTGAAGAACAATTCGAAAGAAAGAGAAAATGCCAAAAGAGGGAAAAGTTGGGTTAGGGTTTTGGGTTAATAATTAAAATATTTAATATATATATATATATAATATTATATAATATATACAAATGTTTATATATTTTTTATTATATAAAATAAAGTCAGGCTGGGCTCAAGCTCGGCCAGGCTTTTATGATAAATCCCGAGCCCGGCCTAAAAAAATGAACTTAGTGTATTGGGCCCAACTTCAAGTCCATGAGCCTAAGAGTATGTCCAAACCCAGGCTAAGACGGGCCGGGCCATCGGACTATCCAGTCCATAAACAGGTCTACTTCTCACACAAATCTCACAGCATCTTCCACTAGTATGTTTTTATTAATTAAAGATTAAAGAAGTTTTCAATAGTTGATAGAAAATGCTATGACATGAAGCGCTCTACGAGGAGCAAATCCAGATGTGGATTTGCCCCAACATCCAGCAATTACATGAAACACAATGTCCGTATCCTTTTGGAATATTATAGACCCTCTCTGTACACGTGGCCCCCACTCACATGCGTTTCATTCAGATTCGTCAACCTCCCCCTTGACAAGGGTGGGCCTGCCAATAAGTTGCACTATCCCTATATTCTTTTCTTTTCTATTTACTCTTCTTCTTTCTTTACTCTATAAATTCTCTCAATTGATGATCTGTTGGAATAAATGTTGGTACCAACAATGCTTTTAATGTGATCCGTTTGCGGCACATCTCCATTATATTCATACTTTATCGTATGTTCATCATTGATGAGTCCCTATTGTAGAAGATGTGTGGTCATGTTATAAGCAAATTAAGCAATATTAGCCCATTACCCCCAACAACCATGGTCCAGTGGTATTGGATCCCAAGTCTCTGGGTCACCAAACACAATACCTTATCAACCAGCGCCAGCGGCTCCTTGCTTTAAAATCAATATTGTTGGTAGATATAAAAAAAAGGTAAAATACAAAAACCTTCCTGCTATTTAAAAAAAAATTTGATAAAAACCTTCCTTCTGTCTATAATCATGACGAAAAATGTTAAGCCCATGATTAAATCTTTTCAAATACATATTTTACCTTTTCATATGTTAATGATTTTCCTGGTCCTACTGAGACTAATTATCATTTCCGTTTATCCCAAGCTCGGATCTCTTGTACTTGTTTTTCATACATGGTGAGGTGCACTTCCATTCAAGTTTTAACGTTTTATGTCTTGGTCATTGACGAAAGGGAAGGTATTTGTTGAACTTTTCAAAAATAAAAGAAAGGTTTTGTTAAAATAAAACTATAAAGAAGGTTTTTATGATTATCAGAAACTTCACGGAAGCTTTTTGTATTTTACCAAAAAAAAAAAATCAATATATCTTTACCATATTAACAAAAAAATTGAGATCACACCAACCTCACAAAAACCATATTATTTTGCTGAAGCGGCAACTGTTTTTATTTTGAAAAATAAGTCGCCTCACCAGCACCCCCTGAACATTCCGTAGAATACGTGTTTTTGAGTACGTATATTTGAAATGCCCGCACATATGGAAATCAGTGTCAGTGCTCACAAATCGGAGACCGGATCTGCTCCTCACACAGGGCGTCTCATTCTGATCTCACACGCATATTCTATCTTGCATTGAGAACATATTCCGTATTTATAAGTAATTATGCATGGAAAATGTTCACAATGAATGGTGGATTTGCCTGTGAGGCGCCCCTGTGTGAGGAGCAGATCCCATTCCCACAAATCCATGCTCATACTGAGAGGAATTCACATCAGCCCCCACAAGTGAGCGTCCCACAACGTTTTACAGCATATCTCAGCTATGTATTATGAATATCTCGCAATAATATCATCCCCTTGTGCGTTCACTTTCACACAGACTCTTGTAGCGGTACATTAGGAAATAGGAATATCTCTCCATAAAAAAAAATCAAATCAGCCCCTATAATGTCCCAATGATGATATCATCATATCTGATATTATTATATACGACGGGGATTTGTGGGGGCTGATTTGAACTCTAAAACAATGGCACAAATACGAAGAAGATGTTCTTATTTTAATATAGCGTTGTAAAGACTATGCGAACAGTGTAAGAACGGGCTTGCCGATCTCGTACATATGGGCTAGAGTTTAGAATGAAACTGGAAAGCTGAGGGGGAAACATAAGGCCCACGTAAAAAGCAGCAGACATGGTAATACCGAGGGCCCCGCAAGGCGCTGAATACTGACGTGTTCATCTTTGGTTGGTTCCTAAGCCCGTTGTACTTGTACACGCCTTACGTGTATACTTCATCCCGATTCCCATTCATTATTCAAAGAGGAGTTTGACCACTTCTTGTGGTTGTGTCTAGCGACATGCACGGACGTTTGTTTTGTTTTCCAGCCAAGTGGCCCAACTATGAATTTGCCACGAGGAGCCCTATTTATCGGATATCGCTAGCCGTTGGCTTGGAAGATCATGACCTGATGATAGCCGTTGCCCGTTGCCCGCTCAACTACGCAAGTTGATAATTCACGCAATTAAGTGAAAATAACTACGAGTGGGAAGGTGGGATCCCACAAGAGTAGTGGTGAAAGGGAAAAATAAATGGTACTGAGCCGTGGAATAATGTGGTGGATGTGAAGTGCCCAAGCGCTCTCTCTCTCTCCCCCCTGCGGTAGGACTAGTAGTAATAGGACAAAAACGGCCATTGACAACAAAACAAAACAAGAGATTTATTATCATTTAAAAAACAAGACATGAGTTCACTTGACTGGCGTGGGGAGGACCAATCAACGAACAACATCACCCCCAAATCAGAGAAATAAGGCCTACTGACAATGAAGACAAAGATATAGCAGTGATGACACGTGGGTTCCACGTGGTCGCTCTCCACGAGAAGGAATGTGGACCGTTCATGTGGTATGAGCCAGACATAACCCCCAAGTGGACCTGTTTACATCAACTCTTGCATTTGAAAGCGACCTTCCTTTCATCTGTGACTATAGTGACACAATGGGGGTAGGCCGTAGGAGTACCCTTCATCTTCAAAACACCTTTTTTTTTGGTTCAGATCTGCACCCCACGACGGGGCGCCCTACAACGTCCCACAGCGCATCCAACATTTCTGGTATATCATAGGAAGATGTTCCTAATACAAGGCGAGGATAAGCTGTGGGACATTGTGGGGCGCTCCCTTGTTGTTGTGAACTCCTTTTTTTTCCTCTTTTTATTATTAATTAATATTTAAGTACTATACTCCTAAATTAGTGGCTCTACCAGGGTACCATCTACATCTAATAATTGAGAGAATTAAATAACGAGTACTCGCCAATTTGTCTAGTGGGCCTCACTACTCACATCACAGATTTCATAGCTGAAGTGGCAAAATGATCCTTCGCCCTCAAGACCGTCAGACGGGTATCCAATATCAAACTTTTGAAAATTTCAATTAAGTCCCTGTGTTTTAATTTTCTAGCATTTATATAACCTCCTCTAAAAACTTATACGGTTGGTAAATATTTCTATGCACCCCTGATTTAGAATATTTTCGTCCAGTTTAGGAGAGTGATGATCTGGTAGGAACGCTCTCATTGAAAACTTCAATTTTAGTTAGAAATTTAAAATCAACTTTATAAAGTCTAAACAACAGAGGGTTTTCATGAGTGCTGGTTTTATCGAGGATTGGCAGATACACACTTACACAGATCACAGAATTTAGGGTTTAGGGTTTTAAAGATTTAAGATAACCGTACGTTGATTTAAGGAAAATATTGTATTTTAAGTTTCAACATGGCGATTCAACGCAAGTTGTATTTATTATTAAAAATAAGAAAAAAAACTGTAAAAAAGCAAAATAGAAGATTCCAATTTGATGGTCGACGTTTTTTGTTATTTAATTTTCAGTGGAAGCTGAAGCCTGAAGGTGAAGAAGAGTCACAAGCAGTTATTAAAACTGCGAGTCTGCGACATGTATATTGGCGGGAAATGTGCATATCTCAAGTCTCAACCGTGAATTGAGTGAAGAAGGTTAGAAAGGTCTGGAATATACAGCGTTCGGATCTCTCCTATTTTCACTCATACTACTACGATACACGTTCAATTGATCACACTGTTGGGGGAGTCCCTACGACTTCTTCTAAAATCTTTTTTTTTTTTTTTTTTCTTTTTCATGGTGAAAATGACTTTTCCTAAAACCTAAACACAAAAACAATATAATTAAATCCTCACAAATTTGTTTTCTTGCGTATTTATTTTTCGAACATTTTGGTTGAAATGGACAGGTGTATGGCTTTAAATGAGATCCCAAGATGCCATAGAAGTCCGTGGAACCCATATAGAAGCCATAGGCAGCAGAAATCCACTTGCCTGCTTGCCCACAGCTGTGGAGTCGCAGAAACACAGAGAGAAGTTCATCTCAATTCTCAAGGAATATGCATTTTTCTTAATATATATATACACAAAAAATATTATTATTGCAGGAATTCTCGTGACGGCTCACAGGGCAATAACACCAAACCTCCTCCACCATCGTGTTCATTCATGCATTTCGTCCTCCTTAGTCTGCCTTTTCAGCAAGCTTAAAGCGGTCTGATCACACGTTCCCTGATTACTCATTTCTCTTCTCCTAAAAGTTTGGTGATTCTAGCTTTCTATAATTTTGCCTTTTAATATCTGGGTACTTGAGATCTTTACCTCTTTTGCGGTCTTGGCTTTTCAAGTTTTGTAGTTTTAAATCCCCGGCTTCGGTCTTTCTAGTCTTCTTTTTACATATCGATCGATATCTTTCTGTTGTCTGTCATCAAGGTTCCCGTCTTTCTGGGATTTGGTCTCGGGGCTGCATCTTTTAGCTTTACGGTTTGATTCTATCGTCTAGATCAAGTGCGTTACGGCCTTGTAGAGTTAAAAGTAGCAGTAAAGCTACTGCAATGGATTCTTGTTGTGCGACCTTGAAGGCCAATGCCCATCCGGTACAAGTTAGGAAAGGGCTTATTACGAATGGAGATAATGGATTTTGGGGAGAGTGTCTCAGGGGGAGCCTGAACAACGGGACCATGGGTACCAAGTTGACCAAGTCTTTGAGAACCGAAAATGGAGGTAGAAAGATCAAAACTGGTGTTGCTTACTCTGTTTTCACAGATGTCAACAAGGAGGTCGCGGTAAGTAATTCAGTGCAATAACCCATTTTCTTCTGGAAAAAACTAATGAATACATGTTGGTCTTCTTGATTGTTCTGGATATTATAGCCAGAAATAGACTTTTTGTAAAATTTACACAGGCTATTCTTTCCATTTCATTTTCCAATTTGAAAGATGAACTGGTTCGGTATTCTTTTTCATGGGTAGTTTAGTTTAGTTGTGATAGATTGTGATACTTTGCCATAAAAAATATAGGTCAATCTTGAATCGGATAGTTTCTCTGATATATACTCTTAACTCTTACATCTGTATTTTGATTTCAGACTCAGACCTTCCAAGCACCGCTACTTGGTAAGCAGATAGCAGACCCAAAGAACGTCGCATCGATCATATTGGGTGGAGGTGCTGGCACTCGCCTCTTTCCGTTGACCAGCAGAAGAGCAAAACCCGCTGTAAGGAAATACTGCTGGATGCTTGTTTTTCCTATAATATTCAGATCCTGTGGGATTGATAACTTGTAAATCATATTAGTAACCTGCTGCTCTGTTTTTGTGAGTTTGACATAATTTAGGAAGGCCTGTTTACTTTTAATTACAGATTCTGCCAACAGATATACTTTTGTACTCTGTACTAAATAGACCATTGGTGCTGATCTCATATTCTTGTGATTTGGGATTGCATATTTAGAATGTTTGGTGCTACTTGTAGGTTCCTATTGGGGGGTGCTATAGACTTATTGATGTCCCAATGAGCAACTGCATTAATAGTGGCATAAATAAGATATTCATCATGACCCAATTCAACTCTGCTTCTCTCAACCGGCACCTTGCTCGCACATATAATTTTGGAAACGGTGTGAACTTTGGAGATGGTTTTGTAGAGGTATGATTCATTAGATTCATCCACCCCTTAAATCAGATAATGTATTCCCTGATGACCATCTCACTATAAATTTCTATTCCAACTTTTTAACTTTCTTGACGACTTAAAAGTCAATTTCTTGGGAGCACAGGTTCTAGCAGCCACTCAAACACCAGAAACAGGAACAAGGTGGTTCCAAGGAACAGCTGATGCCGTGAGGCAATTCATATGGGTATTTGAGGTGAGCATTTGGAATATTAAACAAAACTCTCGCCATAAAATTAGACAGCATTCCATTTACTTTCTTTATTAGTCCCCAGAGGCCTGTCTATTGAATTTTCACTATTTTATGTAGGATGCCAAGAACAAGCATGTTGAAAATATATTGATCTTATCTGGTGATCATCTTTATCGGATGGAATACATGGACTTTGTGCAGGTCTTTATTGACTTCCATCACCTGCAGAATTATTTAGTCAATTTTCTCCACATGTTTGCAAATTTGGCTTATGAATGTTCTATGTATTTGCAGAAGCATGTGGACACAAATGCTGATATTACAGTTTCATGTGTACCAATGGATGATAGGTATGTTAAGTATACTTTCTTTCACCATCATAGGGCGTTGAGGAATTTCCCTCCTGTAGGTGTTGAGAAAAGGAGGAAATTGTATCAATCGACTTAAGAGTTTTCTTTAAATGTGTGAAATGAAGAACCATAGGTTTTGCAATCCTGTCTCCTGTTTGGACTGAGAGACCAATATAGCTATCTCTTCTTGTTGGGATGTGTCAATATTAACTGGTCATATCTTCTAGCAGGCAATTGCGAAGATGGTTTAATTGGATAGATTGAACTGCTGGCCTATTATATAGTCACTTAACTATGATTACATGGAAAACATTGAGTAAAAGGCTTGCTTCATTATTTAAAAGCAATAATCCATTTTGCTTAGCCAGAACCATCCATCAATGTTTTGTGATATTGAGTATGTGAGATAATTTTTTATCTTGTGGCTGTTGGAGTCATCTTAATATGATCTATTCTATTATTTGGCAGCCGTGCATCAGATTATGGATTGATGAAGATCGATAACACAGGCCGCATCATTCAGTTTTTGGAGAAACCAAAGGGTGCTGACCTTAAAGCAATGGTAGGCATATCTTATCTCTTCTAAAAGTTAACAGGTTTTATGACTGACGAAAATAAAGCAAGGAGGTTACTCTTGTAGTGTACAGTCCCATAAACATATTTGTTTAAGTATTTCTCCTAGCCAAGGAGTTGGAATATAAATTATAAACATCCCACTTCAAAAAAAAAAAAAAGCTAAAAATTGCACCCATATTCTTAAAGATGTCATACTATCATTTCATTGTATTGTACTAAGAACATTGCCATCCTTTTCTAAGGGAACCACCATTTGTATATGTAGAATACAAAATACTTTTAAAATTAGCTAATCCCCTATTTGTTGGTATGGTATTTAATTCCAAATGAGTCTGGAATATTATGTTGAAACAAAAATAAGAAATGACTGCTAAATTTGTAAAAGACTAAAAGATTCGGGAAATGGAGATTGGAGAAATGCCATCAGAAATGAGTAGGTAGGTTGCAAGGGGATAGGTTAGCTCAATTTGCATTAAGCAGCACCAATTGTCTGCCCAAATATTAATTGGTAGGAGATGAAATTGGTTCTTTTGTAACAAAAAGCAAAAAAAAAATCAAGTCACAGAAAGTAGAGGATTTTCAAATTCCTGAACATTTTCTAAAATCTAAACTGAGATTTGATCAGGCAGCCATAAACCTGAAAATCAGGAGGGGTGGTGATGCAAGTCAAGACTTTCCCCCCCTTCACTTCCAATATTTGGGAGGAACAGATAAACTTATTCTAATGGGAAACTTGATTCTTAACTATTCTGAATCATCTTCGTGTGTCTCTTTTTGGTTACCCCATTTCTCTAATTTAATGGGAAATTAATCTTATCCATTTGAAAATGTGTTTCTCAGGAAAATTTTCTACCATGTAGAAGAGTTTTCCCGGGAAAATATGCTATTTTCTCTACCATGTTTAAGACCACAAGAATTCTTGATTAATCTCTTTGATCTTGTTTGTCCAGCAATGATATTTGCATTATACCAATCACAACTTCAGCTCATTCTCAATAGCTTTGACCTAATTCAGAGCTATTTTTCATCATTACAGCAAGTTAATACCACTCTTCTTGGGTTGTCTCAACAAGAAGCCATGAAATATCCTTACATTGCATCCATGGGAGTTTATGTGTTCAGAACAGAAGTTCTATTAAAGCTTCTGAGGTGGAGGTATCCTACATGCAATGATTTTGGATCTGAGATCATTCCGGCAGCTGTGAAGGAACACAATGTCCAGGTAACAGAGAAAACCTAAATCCAAGTTCTTCATTCTTTGTTTTACAAGTTGCTGAATGCTAAATCTTGTCAGGCATATCTATTCAATGATTACTGGGAAGACATTGGAACAATTAAATCTTTCTTTGATGCTAATTTGGCCCTTACCGAACAGGTTGGTATTTAGAAAAAAAAAATGCACTACAGATTTTCTACTTTCATATTTAGAATCATTGTGGGAAGTTCAAAATATTTTAAAGTTATATTGGTGGTACATTTTTACTATCTTCTGCAAACTGACATAATAATTTATCTGTAATTTAGCCACCAAACTTCGAGTTCTATGATCCAAAAACACCTTTCTTCACATCTCCTCGATTCTTGCCACCTACCAAAGTCGACAAGTGCCGGGTATGCTTTACAGACTACATCAGCTTGTGGCTTCAGCTTCTACTTTATCTCTCACATCTAAAGGTTCTACCAATTCATGCAGATTGTGAATGCAATAATTTCACATGGGTGCTTCTTGCGGGAATGTAGCGTTCAACACTCTATAGTGGGTGTTCGATCACGTTTGGAGTACGGGTGTGAGCTTAAGGTAAGTAATCGTAGTTCTTGGAAAGTTCACATGTTTGCCTTCAATAAAAAAAAAAAAAAAATACAAATCTCTTGTGAAAATGTCTTTTCTGGTTCTCCGTAAAGGTAAAGGGTGTCTAATTGTCTAAACAAGACCTAGCTATTTATTTCAGTTCTATTTGATGAGAGGCTAAACCCAATGAGGGTAGCAGTTTTCCTTAAAGCTATGCAAAGATAACCTCTGCTAGTAGAATATAAGTACAAAAATGTTTTATAGGTGGCTTCGATTATTCAGGATCTGGTGCTGTCTTTTCAGGATACTATGATGATGGGCGCAGACTATTACCATACTGAATCTGAAATCGCGTCCCTGCTGGCAGAGGGGAAAGTTCCAATTGGTGTTGGACAGAACACTAAAATAAGGTGAGAATCATTCACGGAACATACAGCATGTGAATCTGTGTGTGTGTGTGTGAATTAAAGTTAATAGAAAATGATGGAATTACCATTTTCTGACAAATTGGGCCCTATTTATCAAGGAACTGCATAATTGACAAGAATGCAAAGATAGGAAGAGATGTGATTATTGCGAATAAGGATGTAAGTATAGCTGTTTTCATGTTCAAGTAGATTATTTTCCTGTTTTGTAGAACAAATTGGCGATCTAAACACTGAAGTCATGGCTATTCATCCATGATTGACACATCACCTGAATACTTTTACTTTCCAGGGTGTTCAAGAAGCAGACAGACCAGATGATGGATTCTACATTAGGTCCGGGATCATTGTTATACTGAAGAACGCAACAATTAAAGATGGTACCGTCATATAGAGTCTTAAATACATCCATGGGACAAATATGAGCTTTGGGATGAAGGAGCTAATGTGTTGCATTTGGCCACGGGTAAATTAGGAATGCCTTTTTGTAGAAGAGCTTAATAGAGTTTACTTGATGAGGTATGTTCCTAAATAAATCAAAAAAGCTCTGTAGTCGCTTTGTTTGTACAGGAGTCTGTTGAGTTGTACAGAGCTGAAGCATTTACCTTTTAGATCAAGTGACAAAGTAATAATGGATCTTTTGATAATATGCTAGCTCCATATTAATTCACATTGAATGAAAAGCGAATCAAATGAATGCCTATGACCTATATGATTGATGGGGCTTTCAGTGGGTTGGGGTTGGTTGGGTGCAGGCAAGATAGATCCAGTCCAAACCAACCTAATAAATAAACACAGATCCTGATCGACCCTGGCTCTATAAGAAATAGATCAAAAGCAATCTTATTATTTACCCCAAAAGACCCGATTATACTTCACGAGCTTTGATTTGGTATTTTGACAAAATGACAACTAAATGTTATGGGCTTGGGCGTAGGATCTCGTCACGGGTCGGTCCACGGGGAAAACCTCTAGTTTCTCTTTGCCCTTCTCTTTGCGTGCTGACCCTATCGTAGCGACTTAAGGGGTGATTTGTCCAAGAGATCACCCTAACTCTCTTTTACTCTTCTCTTTGACTGATTGGATGCCTTTATTCAATAATAGTGGCTCCTTAAATAGGAGATTACAAGAGTCCTGCTCTTAGGGAGACTCATTGCTGAATAGGGAGATTTCCAACTCTATCTTGATAAGATAAGACTAATAAGATAAGATAAGTCTCTCTTATACCTAATCTAATAAGATAAGATAATCTCTCTTAATCCTAATCTAATCTACTAATTTAATAAGATAAGAATAACAAGATAGTCCAATCTAATCTACTGGATTGATAAAACTGTTGTTGCCAAATTGGATAGGATGAGAACACCAGATCATTATTGCTACTGCTCCCAATACACGTCCACATCATTATTCCCCTCTTGGACTACGAGCTTGTCCTCAAGCTCGAATTCAGGATGGGTGTCAGGAAACACCGTCAAAGGAATCCCGGATAGGTGGAATGACTTTGCCCTCCTGGATCAGGTTCCAATGAAGAGGGTTCATCCTCATCTTCCTCTTGTTTCACCAGGAGGCAGAAAAGTTTCTTGCACTTGTGCCCTCCTGAGTAGAGTTCATCGCAATTAAAACACTGTCCCCTCGCCATGCGTTCCGCCATCTCAGCCCTGGACAAGTGCTTAATAGGGGGTGCAATGACACTGCTCCCCACGTTGGATGCTGATTTGGAATTGTTGCTCGTCTGTGGCTTCCATTCTTGTCTGGCTACTGAATATGGAGCCATTCCGAGTGGTTTCGGGGATGCCCATGCTGATGGAGGCCACCCCATACTGAAGGTTCTGCGGCTGAGTTGTAGTTTGCGTTCGAAGGCGCGAGCTATATTCATGGTTGTAACCAGGTTGGGGGGATTCTACATTTCCACATCCACCCGTAGGGGTTCTGCTAACCCAGCGGTGAACATGTCTACTTGCTGGTCCGGTTGCACTGAAGATGCACTCGCGAGGAGGGTCTGGAACTGGCGCTGGTTTTCTGCCACCGTGCCGGTTTGTTTAAGGTTAATCAGCTTGCCTAAGGGGTTGCTTGTCAGTGGGGGCCCAAATCTAAGAAGGCAGTAGGACTTGAACTAGGTCCAACTCTAGGTTCTTCCTGTTCTAATCGATAGAACTAGAGTTGCGCTTCCTCTGTTAAGTGAAAGGCGGCTAGGCTTACCTTATCCCGGTCGTTTGTCCGTTGATTTCGAAAAAACTGCTCGCACCAGTACAGCCAGCCCAAGGGATCTCCGTTGTCGTTGTACGATGGGAATTCTAACCTGTTGTACTTGGGGATGACTACGGCCCCCTGGTTGCCGAACTGCTGTTCGCCAGAAGACCCCAGCAGATCTGGTCGGCGGCCGCTAGTGGCTATCACCCCTTCTGTGTTCATCTCTTTGCTAGAAAGGAATAACTCCATCAGACGCCGTAGCTCCCTGACTTCGTCCTTGATTTCCTGTACTTCTGAGCTAGTCTCCATGAGTCGGTGCTCGAGTTCGTGGACCCTGAACGGCAGCTGCTCCAAATAATCCATGACGCCTTGCTCTGATACCAAAATGTTATGGGCTCGGGCGTAGGATCTCGTCACGGGTCGGTCCATGGGAAGAACCTTTAGTTTCCCCTTGCCCCTCCCTTTGCATGTTGACCCTATTGTGGCGACCTAAGGGGTGATTTGTCCAAAAGACCACCCTAACTCTCCTTTACTCTTCTCTTTGACTGAAATTTTGGATGCCTTTATTCAATAATAGTGGCTCTTTAAATAGGAGATTACAAGAGTCATGCTCTTAAGGAGAATCCTTGCTGAAGAGGGAGACCTCCAACTCTATTTTGATAAGATAAGATTGATAAGATAAGATAAGTCTCTCTTAATCCTAATCTAATAAGATAAAATAATCTCTAAGTCTCTCTTAATCCTAATCTAATAAGATAAGATAATCTAATCTACTAACTTAATAAGATAAAAATAACAAGATAGTCTAATCTAATCTGCTGAATGGATAAGACTGTTGCTGTCGAATTTGATAGGATGAGAACACCAGATCATTGCTGCTGCTGCTCCCAATACGCGTCCACATCACTAAACCTGTTAATTCTCTTGCTCTTATTAAAATATCTTGTATATCCTTTCGAATGATAATTTTTACGGATGAATCAAGAGAAACATGTAGAAATTGCTGGGGATATTGGGCTGGAACTTGTAAAATCTAATCTCGACCCGGAACTCAAAATGCAAACCCAAATAATAATCGAGACAAAAAGAATACAAACCCAAACTCATCTATTTTATTAAAAGTTAAACACCATCATTGCAATAAACACACAGAGGCTTCCTCTATGTCTTCCTTCTGCTCACTAGGATCAACTAATCAAAAGTCTCCGTTCACAATAAAACAACATTAAGAGAAAAACAACGAACTCCATGATATTCTTCTACCCTCCTGGATGAACAATATTCATCTCTAGGAAAGAGCTTGGACTTAGCAAAACCTCAGCAACTCCAGCAACAAACATGAAATTACATATACTATGCACATTTCAACTTAACACCTCCAATTTTTCATATGAAGACTCTTTTTTTTTTTAGTTTCCTACATTTCGCCCCTTGTTTCTGGTCAGCCACTGAGCCCTTCTAATTTCCCTTGCCCTCTTCAACTTCTCAATATTTCTGAGTCGGACATACATTTTCCGAATTTGATAAAGCTTGTGAGATTGTTGGGCAATCACATTTGTTGTTGAGGAGCTCTCGCCTAGAACTATTTCATACCCATCTCGGAGAGAGTCCATTCCTAGGGCTAAAAGTTGCCAGAACAGTCCACCGGCAGCTGCTCCTCCCCTTCTAGCTGATGAATATATCTTGTCGTAGACTGTATTAAACAGTATGTCCCGCTCATAGGTGTTGTAACCAGGGTCTTTCCAAGATTTTCCAAACTCAGTGAGGAGTAATGGCTTCCGAAGGATGTTTTGTGCATCTTGAATGTGAGTGTCAAGCCAGTTGCTCAAGAAAGAAAGTTGTGCTTGATCATTTGAGCTGGATAACCTGTTCGTAGAACAACATCATAAGAAAATCCAGGAACAAGGAAAAACACCATGAACACTAGAAAGTGTAGTTAGCTACTTTCAGATCTCTGGGTAAACAACGCATGGAGGGGTTTCTCATGTATTAATTAACACTTTCATCAGCATATAAAAAATTAGTGCATATTCCTAGGCCTCATATTTAGCAGTGAATACTGTGTGATAAACCAAAGTCATGAGATCCCAAGTAATGCATGTTATTCAGAAGCCAGAAAACGATCTGATTATTGAGCTACTAAAATCAGTTCAGAAGATTGAACAACATGCAAATCAACCTCATGGCCAATGGTTATTGAGCAGGCCCCATGCATTAATAAAGTCCGCATTACTGGTGCTTGCATGATGGTAAGGCTTACATAATTTCTTGATTGCTATATTCTAAAAGCAAGTAATCAGATTTCGAGTTTTTTCCTTTTTTTGTAAAACTTGATTTGGACTTTTAACTGTATATCAGTTGATCATTACCATTGATCAGGATATGAGTGAACCGTAGCAAAATCGATGCCAGGAATCTGATTATTTGCAATAAAGTCTGTTCCAAGTTGGAAACCTGGATTGTATTGCTTTTTCTGAGGTGATGATTCCCCATAAAATCCTTCCAAACCAACTTCTAGTAAGTGATTTCTGTCGATGGATTTGACATGAGAAGACATCTCCGTAATCCAAGCCTGTCAGCCAAGTAGAAGTTAGAATAATCCACAGCAGTCATGTATACATAAACTTCCCAGTGGACCATATAAAGTACAACAGGGCATAAATGAATCATGGGATTTCATGCTTTCTCAAGCATGCCATATTTGGGGCCAGGAGCATGGTTTTGAAAATCGGACAGGACAGGACGGTTGGATGGACTGGTTGTCCCAGGAACCAGTCATGACTCTGGGTCCGGTTTTGGACCCCAAAACCATCCAGACATTAGACTATTTGACCAAGGGCCCATTGATCAAAGCAGTTCCACTTCCAGCCCAGTTTTTAAAACCATGGCCAAGAGGACACGCTTAGGCTTTGTTTGTTTGGAATAGTATAAATGCATGAGAGTGCAAATGAAAAGAATGCAAATTTTAATCCACTTTTGCTTCATTTTTATTTTAAGTCGATTTATTTTTTGTATTAATCAATGCCTAATCCTCCATTGGGCCTGTTACTTTTCCATAAACAGTATAACATCGCATCATTAACCAGTATTTACACATAACTCTTTTTCTTTCAAACATGATGGTAGCGGGACCCAAGCCCCCGCTCCCCCGGGACAAATCATGCAGCATACCAACTGAACTACCTCTCAGTTAAATACAAAAAAAATAAAAAATAAAAAAGCTACCCCTCAGTTGGCCTTTTAAGTCAAATTTGATTTTACTTCATCTATTCTGAAAACAAACACAAATTAAGGTGAAAGCTGAAATACAAATAAATCACAATTTCCATTAAAATCATTTGCACACTCATACTTTTGAACCAGTGCAAATGGAATTGCACTGGAAACAAACCAAGCCTTAAGACCTCGACTACCAAGAAAGTAACTCGTTTGCCCCAAGTGCCAATGGGGTGTATGTGGGGTTATACATGCCTGAACCACCTAATGGATATTCCCCATTAAATAAGAAGGGCCCCCGTGTTCTCCAAATAACAGAAAACTACCCAATTTGAGTATGGAGGTACAGGGGAAGAATGCCTTTAAATGCTTACGAAAAGCCAAATGAAGCGATTCCTCCCAGCATGACTTCAAAACACCAAGAGAATTGAATGAAGAAAACTATAAGTTGAACAGTGAAAATTAAATGATAATACAAGGAAGGTATCTTAACCTGAATGGTTCTTCCTGATAGATCTGATGTGCATCTGGGTTCATTCATAAGCTCCCATGCCATGATTGTGGGATCATCTTTGTAGGTAATTCCAGTAATGGTGTTGTATCTTGTGAGAACAGTCTAAAACAAGAAAAGAAATTAAACAAATAGGCATTGTAATAACAATGGAAAAAAAAGTAGTAAACAGATAAATATGTGTGTGTTTGTGTGTGTGTGAGAGAGAGAGAATCAGTCTTAGAAACTAATTAAGAAGAAGCCAATTCTAGAAAATCCTGTAAAAGGGAATCTTGAAGCTCCATTTTTATGTCATAAGAAGTCTTCCTGGAAAGAATTGTCCAGAGTAGAGAGGGAAAAAATTAAAGTACAGGGGATAAAAAGTTGGAAGAAAACCCATTCCAAGATTCAAGAAATAAATACGGGTCAGGAAATCTGTTAATAAAATGTATTATAACCCATTTAATCTCACCAAAAATACAACTCAATAATGGTTCTTCTTTTTCTTTTCCCTCTATTTTTGGATTTCCGTTAAAAAGGTGAGTCATGAATTTAAATATACTAGTAAGGTACACTATAGCAAATCATCAGGAATCAATACACAGCAAAAAAGAAAAAACTATATATAGAGACACATCTCAAATAACAGAAAACAAATCGAACATGTTTTCCAATTACCTTGATGTGATTTTTGTAGTATCCCTTAACAACAGGGTTTCTAAAGAAATCGTCATCGCTAGTTAGATATTGCCCTTGATTTCTAGCCCAGTTCACATACTGTTTCTTCCCTCCAAAGCTCTCATAGTTGTTTGCCAAGCTCAATATAAGCTTAATTCCGTACCTCCTCGCCTCAGAGATTACAAAATCTAATCCCTTTAAACAAAATCAAGAAGCAGAACATCATAAATGGAGCCCAACATATAAAACAGCTCACAAAATGGAAAAAAAAAAGGGACATATAGCAGCAAACATACTTTGAACATCTCTTCATTGTAGGAACCAGGAGCGTACTGCAGAGGTTTGTAGCCACCATCACTGAAAGCCCAAGTTCTTGCAACCGTAAGACCATGGCTTGAAGCTTGCTGGAAGGCCGAAGAGACTTTGCTTCTCTGAGATGGGTCTGAGGCAACATACATCAACCAGTAGGCATTGAACCCATTGGCATAGTAAGGGCTTCCATTCAGCATAAAACGCATTCCTCTTGTTCTGACAAAACCATCTTGCGCTTCAACTTGGATAAGAAAATTCCGTTGTTGGATACAGAGCAGAAGAAACAGAGCAAGACACCAGTTCTTCATCTCTCTCTCTCTCTCTCTCTGCGCTATTTCCGAAGAAGGAATGAAGGAGGAGAGGATGAATTGATTGTTCCCCTGTGAAGTCGGAGCTGAAATTTATGCAAGAGTGACTACTGATATCTAGCCAAATTGTGAACAGTTAAGTTCGGTTGTTGCCGTTCTAGCATTAACTAATGCATGCAATGTCAAATGTGAAAGGAGGAAAGCTTAGGTATCTCTCGAATAGACCATAACGAAGGTCCACCCGGATGAATACGAAAAATAATTAATTTGACATTCATTTCAATCACTTGCTCCTTCATCTAGTTTACGAATAAAAAAAAGCAAAAGTAAAAGCAAAAGCAAAGAAAAAGATAAAAATCAGTTGGGTGATTTTACATTTTACAAAGCAGAAGCCTAAAAACAAAAGTTTGATTCGATTCTTGCTGGGTGATTTGCTTCCCTACCAGCCACCAGCCACCAGCCACCGTATCTCGGAATCTCGTCGTTTACCCAGCAGCGAGAACCAGCCCGTACACGTATTAATTAATGCTTGTGAATTTGGACCGTCCAAAATGGAAGGACAGTGGCCCCACTTAATTTTTTATAATTTAGATGGTACATCTGTACGTCCTGCATCCAAGATCCCCCTGAAGGTATGTGATCTCTACATGATGTCGGTGCTCCCTCCGTGGACCTAGCCTTTGGATTTTAGTATTTTACAGTTACAGTTTAATCAAAAGTATATCAAGAGAGTCAGTTACAGTTTAATCGAAACTGCCAAACATCCGACGGTGCGATGTGACCTATGAGGAGAGAGGCTCATCGCTCGGCGCTCGCATAGTCGCACGGCACGCGGCAGAAACAGTTGTTGCAAACCCACGTGTCCTCGAGATCCTAAGCTTCCGCAGTGACTCGCTCACTCAAGCAACGAGCATGCATGTCACTGACTCACTGATATTTGTATTATATTATACACAAAATTGAAATGTACATAAAATCCAAACATACTCCGAGAGAGTCAAGAGGGGAAAAAAGATTTCTGTGGTGGAGAGTGGCGAGAAGGGAGTTGGGAGTTGGGAGGTGCATCCCCATATCCCAAATGAATCGAATTGATGCATGCGCGTTGCCCCACTCACATGGCACTCATCTTTTCCTCCTTCCCTCCCCATCCCCTCACCTCACCTACCACCACTTTTGTCTTGTTTCACTTTACTGTCCGATCCGAGTGTTTTAAATAGTTTCGTCAAGTGGCCGAGGTGAAAAGATAAGTAGTACGTTAAGATATGCTGCAAGCAAAGGAAGAATGAGGAAGCCCGAGGAATTACCTCGGTAGGTAATTCAATGTTCAAGTCGATAGAATAACGAGATGTGGTTGGGACAAGCAAATTGGGGCAACGTTAATCCGAGCCGAAGAGATAGTACAAAGGAGATATTCAAAAGAGTTTTCCACAAAAAAGTCCCTTATCTCGATAGGAGAATATATAAGTATATTTATAGTTGGGTGTCCGTGTCCCATATGGATACTTCAGGGATATCAAGATGGGGGCGTCCATTAAGGTCATTGGGAGGTTTTCTCTTCTTCGGTGGAGTCTGCTTTCTTGTCTTGTTGTCCGTGCGGGATACTCCTTCTTAGTAGTACTCTTTCATTATGCATGGCATTAACGTGGCACGAAAGGGTGTGGCCACGAAGATAACCATGTGGCATCCTTGACCAGCTCAACTATCACCCGAACGCCACTCCCCCAGTTCTAAAGTCGAAAATTATAGTGCTCGATCGTGACTGGGAGTGGAAGAGTTCAACGGTCCTCGACTAAGGAACTCTAGTTTCTTCGAGTTGGCTGGCCCGAGGTAAGACCGGTTTTTTGGGTAGATCAGTTGGTTCAACGCTCATGTCACTTTCATTACGAGTTGACAGACGCGTCATTTCGTCTTCCTAAGGCCATGTGCATGCAAAGTGGCGGTGCCGAATCAGCATCGTTGATCTGAGCTTATCAAGATTGTTGGTTGCTTCTATAAAAGGGGAGGTGACAAGCCATTTTACTTTGTCATTTTGAGTGAGCCATCATAGGAGCTCGGTGAGTGTTAGTCCTCGATTGGTGTTTTAGGTGTTCTGCGGTGTAGCTTTTCGATAAGATATCTTCATCTTCCTCCTTGTCCCCTTGCTCTTCCTCTTCGTCTAGTAACGCGTCCGATAGTGAGTTTGAGTTGGGATTTCGTGCTCACGACCCGTGAGACTAACGCAAACAGGGCTGATGTCGATGGGCCTGAGGGTGAGGGTGTCGCGGCCCTTCGAGAGGCCGAGGCTGGGGTGACTGACAAGGCCAAAGTGGACTCAAAAGAGGGGCTTGGCGCTCCTACGCGGTTCGACAGCTACTTTGCGTCTTCGCCCTGTAGGTTAACACCTAGAGACCTGGCCCGAATTTGGACCCTTTATTACATTCCCGATGAGTACAAGCTGAGGTGCCTTGGCATCAATAAGAGGGTCACCTCGGCTTGGTAGGGAAAACTTTGCGTCTACGAGCACATCCTGATAGTAGAACTGAGGTTTCCTCTGAGCGAGGGTATTGTGACGGTGTTGAGGTGGTACCGTGTCCAGGCAATTCAATTGATGTCCATTTCCTTTAAATACTTGGTCAACCTTCTTTGCTATTGCTTGGTTTACAACGTGGACATCACCCTACCGATTTTCACATACTTCCTATACCTGAACACCAGCAGGTCTATTATTACTTCTCGGCTCAACAACACAATAAAGTGCTCGTCGAAGCCCCCTCTTCGATGAAACACTAAAAGGAGGGGTTCTTCTTCATGCGCTATACGGGGGGCTGGTCGTTCCCCGTCGAGCTATCAATCCCGAGGACTAGGGTGAGGGTGCCGACCAAGACCAAGCTGTCTAGGGAAGAGTTAGCAGCCATCAGGAGGATAGTGAGAATAGACGTGCAGGAATACACGTTGTTTTCCATGTTGATCCATGCTGGGTTGATGAAGCCCCCAATCATTATGTCCCTGCTTTTCTAAGTTTCCCTTCACTCTGTTTTTTCAATTTTGACTGACTTGTTTTCTTGGGAAGATATGGCAGTCGTGAACGAGGAGGAGAGAACAAGGTGCATGCAGGCTACCATGTAGAGGAGGGCGGCGGCCCAGGTTGTGGCGGCTCAACAGTAGTGTCGCCTATAGGTTGCGAATCCTCGGCCACACAAGAGGTCAAGGCCAGTTGAGGGAGACATGGTGGATGTTGGCTCTGATGGGTCTCCACCACGGTCCGCGTCGTGGGGAAGCCTTGAGGTCCCCCTTCAGGTCTGGTAGAACTGGGGAGGCCGATGTGTATAGGCCAAGATAAAGTGACCAAATGGAGGACACTGTGGAGACTGAGGGCATGCCCGAGCAGCTGGCTCAGGGCATTCGGAGAGAGATCAACGATTGCACGAGCGGGGTGTTGGTGAGTGCAGCCATCCGGGAATCCGTCGCAGTAAGACATATGAACGCCCTTTTTCTGTTCTTTGGTGTGATATGCTGTTCTCATTGACTTATTTTCCTTTTGTAGGTTGTCTGTACGGTGATGAGTTGACCGGATGCGTGTCCTTCATTTGATGACCAAGGCTCGGGAGGGAGAGTTCTCCTGTTTGTAGATGGAAATGGGAGATTTAAAGAAAGCGGCGCTAGCCAAGGACAAAGAGTTGTGGCGTTTGAAGAGCTGTGCTCGTGAGCTCAACAGGGACAACGACAAGGCACAGAAGGTAGCCGAGGAGGCGGAGGCGAAACTACTCCGTGCCGAGGAGGAAGCGGTGGCGAGGTATAAGGAGTTTGAGGAGTTATAGGTTGCCCTCAACGACTATGATACAAACTCCTAGCAAACTAGTTTTGCTTGTTGTCAGAGAAGGGTTATGCGTGAGTATCTGGAGATAGTTGTAGCCATGGCGTAATACGGACCCTTCGACGCCAAGCAAACCCCAGCAGCATAGCCTAGCTAGAACAATGCTGTGATCACTTTCGAGGAGGCGAACCCTGTTGACAACACAATCGACGTAGAGTGACGTTCTACCTTCTATGTTTTTCTATTGTACTCAACTCGATATGTTGGACTCATTATCAATGTACTAACTTCGTTAATGAAAATCCGCTTTTGTCGGGTAGATTTCTTGTGCACTATTCGCTTTTTTTGAGTTATCATACTTCAGGGTTCGGTGGTGCTTGGTCTTTTGCTAGTCGATGTCTTTGGCTTAGTGGCCTCAGCATTATATTGGATGGCCAATTTCTTCAACTTCGTGGCCTCGGCCTTTGGCTTTGGTTCTTGCTGGCTGAAGTCTTTGGCTTTGGCCTTGATCTTAGGCTAGACTCGGTCTTTAGCTCTGATTCTTGTCGACCGAGGTTTTGGATTAGTGGCCTTGGTCTTATTCTAGCCAAGGTGCTTCCAAGCTCTCAACGTTGTCGGGGAGCTCGATGGCACCTAGTCTTGGAGGGCTTTACGCTCTTTGACTAGGCTAGTCGTGGTCCTCAATAAGCTTTACTCTGACTGCAAATCAAGAGGGTGCACAGAGTTCGATAGCCGTCCTCTTGCCATTATGTGGCGGGACATACCAGGTTCTAGCGACTCTGTGGAGGGTCACGACGAAGGCCTTGCACATGAGACCCTCGGATGAGCCATGCAACATCATCATTGTCTTGAACCCTTCAATATGGTCATTTGGGTCTGAGGCCCCATCGTACTTCTCGATGTGAGGAGGTTAGCATCCGACTGGGGGAAGCTCGTCAACGATTTCTTGGATGAAGATGGGCTCTTTTGCGGGTTGCCAACCGTGGCGTTGCTCTATTGGTCGGGCCTTCGGAGGGGCCGCGTTGCAATATGCTTGGCTAGATTCTAATTCAGTCAACCATTGTTGTATGTCCTTGATTTTAGCGTCCCTTTTCACCAATGCCGCATTGATGGACTTCTCTACTTTCGGAGCTACTTGCCGATCACAGATTGAGCTAGACTCAGCTATCGAGATTGGAAGTTATTGCATGCGCTGGCCAAGTTATTCTCGCACCAGAATCTTTGTGCGAAAGTGATGTGATTTACTACGGGCGTCGCGTGCACGAGGCCGTGCTAGGGGTTAGACCTTCAAGATGGTTGTAGACACTCGCTGTCAAGTTGGGCCCCGTGCCAACCTGCGTGGTG